TTCTCCCTAATGATAGAACTTCATGCTTCTATCTGAACTGTTAAGAATTTATGATCCCTTGTCAGAGATTGAAAGAAACTTAAGAGACACACCAACCAAATGCATTGTATGGGCCTTCTTTGGATCCTGATTTAAACAAACTAAAGGTTAATTTTTTTTTTCTAAATAAGTCAGGAATTGAACCCAGGAATTATTGTCAATTTTCTTGGGTATAAATTAATGTGTTTATGCTTAAAGGGCTCCTTTGATGAGGAGCAAGATTTTTACATGCTCTCAAAGTATCTCTCCAAAAGAATAATGATACAATGGAGAAACTGGACAATACCTTCCCCAAATGATGAAAATGATTAAAATTCATATCACCAACCGGGATGATGTGCACCTGGATTGACACTCTGAGAAAAGAAAATTGCCTACGTGGCATTCCAGCCAAAGATCTGTAAACTGAATCTAACCACAAAGACATGAGAAAAACCCACATAGAAGAAAATACTATAAAATTACTGGCCTGTATTATTTTGAGAAGCCAATATTTTAAAAGACAAGAAAAGGCTGAGGAATTGATTCAGATTAAAAGGGACCAAAAAGACATGACAACTAAATGCTGTCTGTGATGATGAGCTAGATCCTGTGCTAGGAAAAAAATGCTATAAAAAACATTAGTGGAATAATTTTTTAAAATTGGAATACAGATTGTAGATTAGATAAATGTATTGTATCAATGTTACAGTTGCTAAAATTGATAGCTGTATTGTGGTTGTATAAGAGAATATTCTTGTTCTTAGGAAATACGCTCTATTAACAAGGTAAGAGGACTTGATATACGCGACCTACTATCAAATGGTGGAGAGTTAAATGGCAGTACACACACACACACAGTGCTTATTTCACCCACTATCTGAATGTCTTCCTCCTAGTTTGCTATACTCCAGCCATACTGGTCTTTGCATTCCTCAAGAATGCAAGCACATTCTAGATCAGGGCCTTTGCACTCACTATTCGTCTGCATGAAATGTTCTTCACCCCAGAAATTCACTTGCTTGGCCTCCTCCTCATCATTCAGGTCTGAGATCACCTCTTCAGAGAGACTTTCTTTGACTACCCAACCTAATATATTTCCTCTCTCCCAGAGCACTTATCATTATCTGAAAATATTTACTTCTGGGTGCTTTTCTTTCTTTTGTCTACCTCTTTTCACTAGAATGTACACACCATAAGAGGAGGGACCTTGATCAGGAATCTGTCCCCAGAACCTAGAACAGTGCCAGAAACATAAGCTCTCAATAAATATTTGTTGAGTGAATAAAGGTGGGATGGGGTGGATGGGGTGGGAGGGGCAGGACTCTAGAGAAGTTGGCAACAGGAGCAGGGTTACTGGAGAGGTGTGTGTGTGTGTGTGTGTGTGTGTGTGTGTGTGTATTAGTGTCTAGTGTTTCATTCCTACACCAAGTACATTTTTTCAGAANGTAGAGGGCAGTGTCACTGGTCCTCATATGTGGGATCCGAACCTGGGCCCTCTGGCGTCCCGAGCCAGCTCTTAACCAACGCACCACTTGGCCGGCCCTCTCAATCTAACTCTTAACCAACTGAGTCAGTCGGCTGGCCCCATTTTTTTTTTAAAACATGGGTAAGACTGAAGCAAGTTTTAATTTTGAAAGGAAGCAGCTAGGAAGAAGGGAGATGTTAAAGATTAGGAGCAAGGTGGCTGACTGAGTGATATTTCTGAGAAGTTAAAAACTGATGTGAATCAGAATATGGGAGGTTGGACATACCTTCCATTATGAAAAGAGGGAAGGAGGAAAAGATGGGTATAGGTGTATATACTTTTGTAGGTTGCAGGTGAAAAGTTGTGGGAGCTCATGTCAGAGGCTTATATTTTCTCTGTAAAATAGGTTATGAGAGTGATGGAACAGATAGCAGGATAAAGCAGGTGCTATTCTTCCCTTATAGGCAAGACATATGCAAATCAAGTAAAACTGGCAATAAGGCATCAGAGCACAGTTATATGCCATACTGAGAAGTCTAGAATTTATTGTGCAGGTAAGGGGGGTCTGTCCCACTAAGATTTTTGCATAGTGTGGCTAAATTATTGGTGTTGGCAGAGTGTCTTCTGGTGCAACCAAGACTCTTCTGAGTGCTGGCCTGAGGGAATGAGACTCAGAGAGCAGGGAGTTTCCTCCTCTTTGTCCTCCATCCCCCATCTGCACAGACTGCCTTCACCATCAGCATTTCTCTTTCAGGTGCTGACTATGGACGTGTTCTAGCCTTCAGGAGAGACCCACTTCCTACCCAGAGTAGTGACGAGTTTTCCTCTGCCTCCTCCTAGGCAATAGCATGAAATCAGTACCACAGGCATTTATTCACCAGGGAATTGCTTCCTTTCATTTTTGCTTTTAAATTACAAAATGAAAGGCTATTTGATGCCTATGAGGTTCCCAGGTAGGCTCTGGAGTTCTAAGCTGGAGTAATGAGCAAAACAGACAAAAACCATGCTTTCTTGGAGTTTACATTTCAATGTGGGAGACAGACATTAAATAAATACACTAATAAGAATACAGTTGACCTTTGAACAATGTGGGTTTGAACTGTGTGAGCCCATCTGCATTTATGTGGATCACTGCAGTTCAAATCCACACTGTTCAAGGGTCAAGTATATTTTCAATCTGTGGCTGGGAATCTGCATATACAAAGGGCAGCTTTAAGTTATACTTCGATTTTGGGTGCTTTCTGCCCCGAATCTTTGCATTGTTCAGGAGTCAACTAATAGGGTAGGCGGTATGTGTTGAGGCAGAGGTGTGTCAGTGTGTGCCACTTTAGAGAGGGTGGTGACGTTTGAACAGTGACCTGCGGAAATGAGGGCATAATCCAGGCGATAGCTAGGGGAGAAGCTTCCAAGTCAGTGATAAGAGCATGTGCAAAGGTTCAGAGATGGGAGAGTACCTGGTAGGTTGAGGCAAGCAAGGAGGCCAGTGTGGCTGGAGGTGACTGAGAAAGGGAGAAGGTAGTAGCAGGAGTGGCTATAGGCATGGGCTCTAGAGGCAAGCTACCTGGGTTCAAGCCCCAGTTCCACTGCTTACAAGTTGGGTGACCAGATGCTAATCACTTGGTTGCAATTGCTCAAATACATACAAATATATCTTCCTCAAATTCATTTTTAGCTACAGCACAGTCTAAATTCATACTTTATCCTCTCTGAGCCTCAAGGTTCTCATCTGTTAAATGAGGACAATGAGAATAGCTCCCTCAAAGGCTTGTTGAGGATGAATAATTGTAAAGCCCCTTAGCACATTGTCTGGCACACAGCAAATGCTCTGCAAGAGAGCCTTAAACTAAGAAAGAAGAAAAACGACTTGGGATGGAGTGATGGTTAATTGCATGTGTCAACTTGACTGGGCCACGGTATACCCAGAAATTTGGTTNTTTTTCTTCACAGCACTGATCATCATCGGATACGTGATATATTGGACTTATTGATTTGTTCATTAGCCACTAAAGCTTAAGCTCTATGAGGATAGGAGTTTTGTCAGTTTTGTTCATTGCTTTATCCCAGTTGCCTCCAAGGGTGCCTGGCACACAGTTGGCACTCAGCAGTTATTTGTTGAATGAATGAATTTTAAATTGATAGGTTTCACACAAAGAACCTGGATTGCTGGATTGCCTTTAAAATCTGGCAACCCAGGTCACATCATTGCGTGGCACCAACGGCCTGCAGCTGCCCTGTGCAGACTGGGATCTGAGTTCTCTCTCTGATTTGCCTCAGTCCCCATCTTACCTTATAGTCGAAACCAGCCAGCTTCACTCATTTCCATTACCTGCCTAGCAGCTAGCTTCTAGGCATTTGAACATGTCACCCTTGATCAGGGCTGCACTGCTCATTCTATAGCTGAGGAAACTGATATGACAGGTGCAGCGACAGGCCTCTGGCTATAGTTGCTTGAAGGGCTCAGAGTCCAGTTGAGGGCTTTTGTGAGACGGTCATTGGACTAGGTAACCAGAGCTTGGCCTCCAGACAACAGAGTCCTTTAACAAATGAGGCACTGAGTTAGCAACTGAGTATGCCAAAGTACCCAGTTTGGAAGTGCACAAAGTACCTGTCGGCAAGATTATAACCAGGTGGCAGACTCCTTGTTTTCAGCGGGCAGTCCAGTTTGCCTGTGTTAGCACTGATGCCAATCCGGGAGGAATGCAGCAGTTATGCCCTCCTCACTTATCCTGACTTCTAGGAACCCAACTCAGGAAGTTCCATTGGCCAATAGACATTTTACAGCTCTGGGCATTCGCTGTGCACTCCACATCCCTGTGGCCCAGCTGAGGACACTTCCAATGCAAAGGCCCATTCTCACCCCCTGGCAGAATGCACTGCTCCTGCCCCTGTGCCCCCTCCCCCTTGCACATTTTTTACCCTCCTGCAGCACAGATCTTGAACTTTTATAATCAGTTCACCAGCAGTTGGGAGTTTCTTAAGGACAGCACTTTTTCAGGCCTTTCTACAGCCAGAGCCTATCAGCAAAGAAATGTTCAGAATTTTCGAAATATTTAAATGAACGAATGCGTTCAACAGGCGCTGTCCATCTCGCCAAGCCGGGCTTCTCCTCGCCAGTCAGTCTCGCCTGTGTGCCCCCTCCTTCCAGCAGGGCCCTTTGCCCCACTACACGGGACCTCTTCCTTCCTTCCTGGTCCGAGTGCTGGGCATTGGAGGGCCTTGCCCACGGCGGGAGCCATAACTTACAATCCGGGCCACGTTCCTGTCACATCTGCCTCTCAGAACCCGTTCCAGCCCCGAACCGAGTGCAGTGGGGGCGCAGCCCCCCGCCAGGTCCTCGGCAGCCCTGCGGGCCTACCTTGCCCCCTTTGCTCAGGACCTGCCAAGGCCACGTCTCTACGTTCCCGAACAGCGAGTTCCTGATCACTCCCAACATGATGTCGCGGGGGCGCTCGGGACGCACCAGCGGACGTGGGGCGGCTGGGGCAACCGGGGGCGACCGCGGGCGACCGGGGCTAATCACCGCTGGCGGCGCGAAAGGGGGTGTGTGGGCAGGGCTCCTCCGGCTCCGCCCCGAGGAACTGGTTTCGGTGGGGCGGGCCCAGGGCGGGGCGTGAGCGGCTCGGGCAGAGGAGCGGGGAGTCGCGCTCCGCCTCCAAGCGGTTCCCACCGGGGCCAACAGATTGTCCCCGGTATAGGATCGCAGCAGCAGTGGGGAACTTCCTACCTCATCCCACCCCTATTTCTGTCCACCGCCCGCGGGCTCCCTAAGGTATCTGGGCGCCAAATTTAGGAACCTTCCGATTCTTCGCGTGCTCTCCCGGGCCTCCACCTTAAGGCTCAGTCCCCCGCAGGTACTGCACATTCCAGGTTCAGTCTTGGTAGCCCCCCGCCTCTATCTGCCGCCTCTCCGACAGATACCCACAGATTGTCACCCCTCCTCCCCTCTCTCTCTTCTGGACCATTGAAAAAACATCTTAACTACTGTAGCTTCCTACTGACCACTTTCTTTCCTCCAATCTGTTTTAACCACAGATTTCATGTTGATGTTACAAAGCCAACTTTGCTCATTCACTCCTTCTAGTCAAAACCTAGCCACTTTTTATTACCATTTATTGAGTGCCTGCTCTCCCTGCCAAGTGTTTTGCAAGTATTATCTCTACTCACATCACTAAACAGAAATATTTTATAGCCATTTTACTAAAGGGGAACTCGAGGTTCAAAATAATTAAGTGACTTTCCCAAGGTCAAAAACCAGTGTGCGTGTAGCTTGGCCAGGATTTGAACCGGCGACTGTGATGTCAGTGCCCATAATGCTTTCACTGCACCCCATCACCCGGACCTATTCCCCGTCTACATCTGCCCTCTGTGTGTTCCTGCCCC